CTTCTCCACAGATACTGGTGATTATGTGCTGCTTGTCCTATTGGACCTTACAGCCGCCTGACACTATCGACCATGAGATCCTCATTGCTAGGTTGGAGCAGTGGGTGGGCATTACAGGGTCAGCCCTCAATTGGTTCATATCCTACCTCGCTGACAGATCCTTTTGTGTCTCCATCAAGGATTTTAGTTCTGCAGTGGCAGAGCTTAAATGGGGGGTTCTGCAGGGGTCCATCCTTGGTCCCCTCCTATTCTCTTTATACCTGCTGCCACTTGGTGCTATTTTCCGGAAACACAACATACCCTTTCACTTCTATGCCGATGACTGTCAAATTTACTTCCCCCTAAGACACAATGGTACATGCTCTATTCAACCTCTGCTCCACTGCCTGGCTGACATCAGGGACCAGATGGCTTTAAATTTCTTTAAAATACTCCTGTATGTCTACAAATCGCTGAACAGTCTCTCTCCCCCCCCACCCCCCCCCCCCCCCCCCCCCCCCCCCCATCTCTCTGATCTGCTACAACCAACAAAGAATTCACAATATGTACTGTAATGTGTAACGTAATTTTATTCTTGTTAGAATTAATATTAATTACAAAATTGGTACCGAAAAAAGAACCTTCATGGAACCGACATTGAAGTGAAGGTACCGACACCGGTACCGATACCAGTTTTTTTATAGAGGTACCCAGCCCTAGAATACATTTAAATCACCTAAACAAAAGCGAAGGTTTATTTAGCAAGAGTTTATTAATCAAGATGACTTATTGTTTATTACTGAACTTAAAATTTTAAGTTGATTTATTTTTACGTTTACTCACCAGCTCTGCAGAACACAGCAGCTCTGCTCCGGTCTGGCTTGGCAGACCTACCCAGCCTTGATCCAGTTCTGGTCTGGCTCTTATCTGCGCTCTTCATCCACTAAGCACCAAAGTTACTATGAATACTGTAAGGACCAAACGTTTTCGAATCGTAGCTTTCCCTCCATTTCAGCAGATAGCAACTTTGCCTTCTGAGTAATGTGGAGATACAGTGTAGGCTTATTGAGAGAAAATTACAAAATGGCGTTTTTTATTTTTTGTCATGTACAATCTTACAGTACTGTTCTTTGAATAACTGTGTAGTGGTGTCAGGGTCAGCTTGGCTGCACCTCCACTACAATTATTTAAATATAACGGGTTCTCTCTTTTTCGAGTTAAATTTTTGCCATGTGACGAGATAACTGTGAGGATTGTTTAAATCAGTGACAGACGTTAATTTCCTTTGACCCATCAGAATAAATGTGGTCATTTATTGAACAGAATCAAAATTTAACATCAAAACATGTACACGTGATTAGCTGATCTGGTTCTGATTAATAAAACTTGGCACGCTTTACTAATAAGACAACAAGACATTTCTGAAGGCATTTAGATTACTGGCAAAATAGAAGAGTTTTAAAGGAAGGAATGAAGAGGAAAAGATGGGTAATGGGGTGTCTGTTCGGACCAGGATGGCACGCTCCCTTCAACACCAGCTCAAACCTCCGGTACACTTGGCGCGTCACGACTCGTTACCTTTGCAGAAATTAATCAGCTCCGGCGTCGGGTCCATTTCAACGCTACCTTCCAGCGTCTCCGGTAAGAGCGGCTGGCCATCGTCAGGAGTCATGTCGTTTACTCCGTTCAACAAACACGCTCATCTCCCGGGTGGATACACACCAAGCTGTGAGTCCGTCAGAGGTTCCACTCAGGAGTGGAAGACTCCATCAAAAACTCAGAAGACTCACCAGACCCCAACTCGACTAGAAGACTCCGAAGACAGACTTGAAGACTTCACCAGAGTGAGTCGTTCCAGGAAGTGTGGACTTTTAAAGAGGTCTCACTTCCGGTCACTTCAGGACTTCCTGATTGGTTGAAACAACCAAGTCAAGAAAGTGCAAAAATGTTTAGGAACGTTTAGTACAGACATGGAAATGTTTTGAGGAAGTGAGAAACTTTGCAGGTGCCAGTTGTTCTTATTTACTGTCTGCTAGGTTTAAAAACAATCCACTTCGTTCTAATAACTTCTTTCTGACTGTCTCTGACTTTTGACCGACATCACTACTTCTCATTCAGACAGAAGATCAAAATGTATAATTACTTTGTAAATAGACATTTAACTTGATTTCTAATTTAAATGAGGATTAAAAAAATAATCATTAATACTGTTTCACAGTTGATTTAAAATGAGTGGTTCAACATTTAGAAATGGTATGAACTAAACACACTTTTGAATTATCAAGATATTGTAAAATAGTAATGATAATATAAAAAGAAGAGTGTTCTTTCAATTGATTACTTCAGGATACAATTAGACAGTCTCTGGATGAGCTAATTTGTATTTCTGGATTCAAATCAATGAAATAACAGTTCCTGTCCCATGAAGGTCTTCAGAGGCAGGTTTTGGTCGGAGGCCGAGTTCACTACAACTGCGAAAGAGCGAGTTCGCAAAAGTCGAACCGCGAAGTAGCGAGGGACTACTGTATTAGCTGGAAAGGAGCAGATCAGTAAAGCTGGGGAGAAAGGAGGAGCACAGGAGGAGCATAGAGATGAGCAGGCAATGAGAGGCAAGTCCGATGACTTTTAGAATGGTGACCGGCAGGAAAGCGCACAGCCTGTCTCAGTATAATTTGCTGCATATACACTGTATTAAAGCATTAAAAATTTGGTTTTGGGGATTTGAATGAGCTAAATTGTTGATATTTGAAACCAGACTGTATGATAAATGCATTTAATGATTAACTCAGAATGATCTCAGAGTATAGACAGCGGACTCAAGACTTAGTGGACTGGTGCCAGCAGAACCACCTCCTGATCAATGCTGCTAAAACTAAGGAGCTGGTGGTGGATTTCCGCAGGTGCGGACTCACCTCACTGACCCCGGTGAACATCCAGGGTGTGGACATCAAGAACGTGGACTCGTATAAGTACCTGGGTGTTCACCTGAACAATAAACTGGACTGGTCTCACAACACTGATGCACTTTATAGGAAGGGTCAGAGCAGACTCTACCTGCTGAGGAGACTGAGGTCTTTTGGAGTGCAGGGGGTGCTCCTGAAGACCTTCTTTGACTCGGTAGTAGCATCAGCCATCTTCTATGGTGTTGTGTGTTGGAGCAGCAGCTTATTATCAGCTGAGAAGAAGCAGCTAGATAAGCTCATCAAGAAGGCCAGCTCTGTGCTTGGACGCGCCCTCGACCCAGTGCAGGTGGTGGGAGACAGAAGGCCTCTAGCTAAAATAGCATAATTTCTGGACAACGTCTCCCACCCCATGCATGAAGCTGTTGCTGAACTGGAGAGCTCGTTCAGTGACAGATTACTGCATCCTAAATGCACAAAGGAGCGCTACCGCAGGTCCTTCCTCCCAGCAGCTGCTGGACTCTACAACCATCACTGCTCCCAACAAACTCTATAAGGATTAAACACATGCTGACCTCTGCTAAAACACACACTCTGCCTGTAATACTGTACTGTAAATAGTATATCCTTATCAATGTTCAAACACATATTGAACATTATTATTGATATTGTTTATCTTATTTCTTTATATATTGTTTTTAACATTTAGGAATTTTTGTTTGAAATATTTTTATCTTTTTATCTGTTGTTGCTGTTGCACTTGAATTTCCCATCCGTGAGACAGTAAAGGCTGTTTCTATTCTATTCTATTCTATTAATGATCAAATATGAAATGTCAATGCTGCCTTCTCGATAACAGGTGGTTTGCCTGTATTATTACCAATCGTGGTTTTTAATGTTCAAGTATTTTTAGTCACAAGAAAGTTTATAAATTGTAATTTGTAACAGCAACCTTTTATAATGAGGAAGTTGATTTTCGGTGATAAAACTCCTAACAGTCCACACTGTAAGGATGATTTTTCCATTACATAATTTTGTTAATTCAAAAGGATGATATTTAAAAAAAAAACTATCACAGATTGTCCTTTGTTCATAACAAAATAACGTAAACTTTTTCTGCCTTTAAAATTGGTCTTTTGTAGTAATAGGCTGGTAGTTTCAATGCATATGCAGACAGAAGCTATTGTGTGTGTGTGTGTGTGTGTGTGTGTGTGTGTGTGTGTGTGTGTGTGTGTGTGTGTGTGTGTGTGTGTGCATGCGTGCATCCGTGCATGTAGAAGTGACATTGTCCTTAATGTACATGTGTTTCAGTGGTTCCTGCCTATGTTTGGTGGTGACTGAAAGAAGAAGCTCCTCAACATTGAAGGCCTGATGTGGACCAGCAGGACCCAGAGGCTGAGTGGAAGAGAAGACCCTTGGACCAGTCTGGTGGGAGACCCAGCTCAGTATGGAGGAGATCAATATCAGGTTTTTGTCACTGCAGTTCCTTTAAAGAGTGAGGAGGATATAAAAAACTTGCCAGGAACCCAGATTTAAAGAGTCACAAAGACGGTTCCAGTTCTTCATAGACTCATGTTTGAGGATGATGGAGGATGGTGAAATGACCAATTCTGACTCGCCTCTAAAGAAACCATTAGACTCTGAATCAGAACGTGAAGACAGTATGAAAGACTGGAAGGAGAGCTGCGCTACTGAATCAGGTAAAAACTGTCAACAAACCTTTGAGCTACTCTGCTGCAAAGCAGTATGTCAGTAACTGGACTCGGAGAGAGAGATAGAGTTTCTTTGTCATTCGCACCACATGTGGTACATGTGGTGGAACAAGATTGTGTACTCCGGGTCCTAGTTACATCCAACAATAAAATGTAAAAGAAAAAACGATAAGATCTAAGAAATGAAGTAAGAAAAACATCAAAGACTCCAAGACTCTTAAGACACATGACATCACAAGGAGTGAAGTCCTCAATCCAGGAGTGCAGTCTTCAAGCTGTCTGCTTAACAAGAAATGTGTTGTAGAGAAGAAAATTGAAGAGTCACGCAAAAAAATTCAGGCAAGGCCAAAATCAATAACCTGCGATGACTGGTAAAAGATTTACTTTCAAATCTCATTTAAACACACACATGGCAGACCACACTGGAGACGAACAGTTTCATTGTGAACTTTGTGGACAAAGGTTTAGTCAGAAAGCAAATTTAAACAGACATATGAGAGTCCACACAGGAGACAAGCCGTTTCCTTGTGAACTTTGTGAACAAAGATTTAGTCAGAAGACGAGTTTAAGCTCACACATGAGAGTCCACACAGGAGAAAAACCATTTCCTTGTGAACTTTGTGGACATAAATTGAGTCATAAGTCTAGTTTAAACAGCCACATGAGAGTCCACACAGGAGAAAAACCATTTCCTTGTGAATGTTGTGGACAAAGATTTAGTCATAAGTCAAGTTTAAGCAAACACATGAGAGTCCACACAGGAGAAAAACCGTTTCCTTGTGAACGTTGTGGACAAAGATTTAGTCATAAGTCAACTTTAAGCAAACACCTGAGAATCCACACAGGAGACAAACCGTTTCCTTGTGATCTTTGTGGACAAAGGTTTAGTCAAAAGATACATTTAAACAGACACATGAAAGTCCACACAGGAGACAAACCGTTTCCCTGTGAACTTTGTGGACAAAGATTTAGTCAGAAGACGAGTCTAAACGCACACCTGAGAATCCACACAGGAGACAAACCGTTTCCTTGTGAACTTTGTGGACAAAGATTTAGTCAGAAGACAGGTTTAAACTCACACCTGAGAGTCCACACAGGAGACAAACGGTTTCCTTGTGATCTTTGTGGACAAAGGTTTAGTCAAAAGATACATTTAAACAGCCACATGAGAGTCCACACAGGAGAAAAACCATTTCCTTGTGAACGTTGTGGACAAAGATTTAGTCAGAAGGCAAATTTAAACAGACATATGGGAGTCCACACAGGAGACAAGCCGTTTCCTTGTGAACTTTGTGAACAAAAATTTAGTCATAAGTCAAGTTTAAACAGCCACATGAGAGTCCACACAGGAGAAAAACCGTTTCCTTGTGAACATTGTGGACAAAGATTTAGTCAGAAGACAAATTTAAACAGACATATGGGAGTCCACACAGGAGACAAGCCGTTTCCTGTCTGACTGGAAACGGCTTGACTGAGTTTCAGTCAGGGTTTAGAGCTCACCATAGCACAGAAACATCACTGGTGAAAGTTACTAATGCTATTCTCATGGCCTCTGATAATGAACAGGTGCCTATACTGGTCCTGTTAGACCTCAATGCTGCATTTGATACAGTCTATCACAATATTCTACTACAGAGACTTGAATATGATATTGGGATCACAGGAACAGTTCTAAATTGGTTTAAATCATGTTTATCTGATAAATTACAGTTTGTAAATATAAATAATGAATCTTCATACGCCAAAGTTAGTCATGGAGTTCCTCGGTGTTCAGTGCTTGGACTAATACTCTTTACCTTTATATATCCTTCCGTGAGGTACAGTTATTAAACAGCATGGGATAAGTTTTCATTGTTATGCTGATGGTATACAGTTATATTTGTCCATGAAACTCAATGAATCCAATCAGCTACTTAAGACTACAATCATGTCTTAAAGACATAAAAACCTGGATGACCCTTAATTTTCTGTGTTTGAATACAGACAAGACCGAGGATTTGGTTTTTGGACCTGAGCATCTTGGGAAGAATTTTTTTAGTCTTTCACCTTTCTTGGATGGCATTAATCTGGCCTCTAGTTCTAATGTTAAAAATCTTGGGAGTTATTTTTTATTAGGACATGCCTTTTAATCCCCACATTAAAAACGTTACTAGAACTTCCTTCTTCCACCTGCGTAATATCACCAAAGTTAGAAACATTGTATCTAATAATTATGCAGAAAAACTGGTTCATGCCTTTGTCACTGGACTATTGCAATGGTTTATTATCTGGGTGTCCAAATACTTCTTTAAAAAGTCTTCAGTTAATCCAAAATGCTGCTGCCAGAGTCTTCACTGGGGTTAGTAGGAGAGATCATATTTCCCCAGTTTTAGTTTCTCTCCACTGGCTCCCTGTCAAATTCCAAACTGAATTCAAAATCTTACTTCTAGCATACAAAATTCTCAACAACCAAGCTCCATCTTATTTTCGAGATCTTATTGTTCCATATGTTCGTAACAGAGCACTTCACTCTCAGACTGCAGGCTTACTTGCGGTCCCTAGAGTTTCCAAGAGCAGAATGGGAGGAAGATCTTTCAGTTATCAGGCTCCTCTCTTGTGGAACCAACTTCCAGTTTCTGTCCATGAGGCTGACACATTGTCCAGTTTTAAGACTGAACTTAAAACTTTCCATTCAGAGGCACAGCTGAGCTGTGCGCTGTTTGTACCGGCAGTTTTGGAGGGTGGGGAGTTTAGTGTGAGGGTTCAATGTGAGGGAAGAGGCTGCGTGAGCGCTGCCTTTAGATTTTTAGCTAGCACGCCTATATTGCACATCGCTAGCTTAGCATTACACCAGTGCCGATGGGTGGGGTTGGGGGGTATGTGCAGTTTGGTTTGGTTCAGTAGGCAAGGTGCTCAGTTCTGTTAATGGGGCGGGGCGCCCCGCTTGTATAATGGTAGGGGAAACACTGGTTTTCTGAAAGCTGTTTATGCTTAGTTTAGTTCATGCTTACTTAGTTTATGTTTGTACATACATGCATTACTGATTTTTCTTTGTTGTCTTTTGCATTAAAATGTAAAAAATTGTAACTGCTTTCCAACTGACCTCATCAGTAAAGCAAGTAGTTGCAGCTTTATCTGAATGACTATAAATTGAAAGGGTAACTGTGCTGTTGCAGCCAAATAACTGTTGGAAATCATAATAAAAGTGTTGTCCCCCTGATAAGTTTATCGTAATCGGAATAGTCCGATATCTTATTTTTTTTTTCCCATTTGTTAGTGTGATTAAAATGTTATGTTTTTCTATATAGAGAAATAAGTTATTTTACATCTTATTAGTTGGTGTAATAAAAATAAATGTAGATTATTTTTTTCAATTAAATGGTTAGCCAAGAAAGGACCTTTTTATTGTTTTGCAGACTTTAAAATAACAGCAACCTCTTTCTCAGTAATGACATACTAATCTGAAAAAAATGCTATATCGGCTAATGTTAAACCTCTGGTCAGTCTGTGATCCTGGTACTCCTCGACCTTACCACTGCATTCGATACTGTTGATCACAACATCCTTATGTCACAGCTAGAACACTGGTTTTGGGATTACAGGGGTGGCGCTAGAATGGTTCTGTTCATATCGGACATACACTGGGCCTTGTTTAAACTTGTGATGTGATTGTTGGTAATCTTGAAATTGATCATGTTTGTTCAGACTACATGCCAGTCCGGTTTGTGTTCACCCTCCCCCATCTAACTCCTAAGCCGTGCGTTCCTGCACATCGCAGACGGACCATTAACCTCTTCACTGCCGCACGTTTCACAGATGTTTATAACTCTGAAATGATAATTCAGCCCCCGGTGTTTCTCACCACCACTGAGGCGCTGACATCCCAGTTCAACTCTGTCTGCTTAAAGACTCTGGATCATGTCGCTCCAGTTAAAACTAGAAAATCAAAACTCAGAGCAGAACCTTGGCTGAGTTGACATCACCAAGGCTGTTAGGCAGCAGTGCAGGAGGGCGGAGCGCAAATGGAGGAAAGACAGGCTGCAGGTCTCTTTTCAAATACTTAAAGAGAGTTGGCGACGTTATCAGAAAGCAGTAAAAGCTGCTAAATCCAAATACTTTTCTGATATAACCTCAAACTCTCACAATCCATGTGTCCTCTTTTCTACCCTAAACTCTGTTCTCCACCTCACTGAACCATCACCTCTGGAAGCCTTGACTGAGCTGTGTGAGAACTTCTTACATTTCTTTTTGGAAAAAATTGCAACCACCCGGGCTCTCATTTCCCCTCCAACTCATGACCCATCCATCCCACCTCAAGCTGTAGCTCTATTTGACCATTTTTAACCCATCTCTCTGTCTTCTCTAGAGTAGGTCATGTGCAGCTTGAAACCTTCTGGTTCCCCCTTTGATGTGGTTCCCCCTCGACTACTAAAGGAGGTTTTTCCTACTCTAGGTCCGTCCATTCTTGCTATTGTAAAATTGCGTGGTGCCAAAAACCTTTAAAAATGCTGCTGTCCAGCCTCTCCTGAAAAAAAACAAACCTTGACCCCTCAGTCGTATCCAACTTCCGGCTTGTCTCCAGACTCCCATTTGTTTCTAAAATACTGGAGAAAACAGTTGAGTCTCAGTTGAAGTGCTTCCTGGAGGATCACACCATCTTAGAGCTATTCCAATCTGGTTTTAAACCTCTCCATAGCACTAAAACTGCCCTACCGAAGTTTTTTAATGACATTTTCTTATCCACAGATACTGGCGATTCTGTGCTGCTTGTCCTATTGGACCTCACGGCCACCTTTGACACCATCAACCATGAGATCCTCATTGCTAGGTTAGAGCAGTGGGTGGGCATCACAGGGTCAGCCCTCAATTGGTTCAGATCCTACCTCACTGACAGATCCTTTTGTGTCTCCATCAAGGATTTTAGTTCTGCAGCGGCAGAGCTTAAATGGGGGGTTCTGCAGGGGTCCATCCTGGGTCCCCTCCTGTTCTCTTTATACCTGCTGCCACCACTTGCTGCTATTTTCCGGAAACACAACATACCCTTTCACTTCTATGCCGATGACTGTCAAATTTACTTCCCCCTAAGACACAATGGTACATGCTCTATTCAACCTCTGCTCGACTGCCTGGCTGACATCAGGGACTGGATGGCTTTAAATTTCTCAAGTTTCAATGAAAAGGAGTCTCAAGTCATGTTGTTCCCTCCCAATGACACAATCACAAACCACTGCATCGACCTCTCCGCTCTAACCCTGTCAGAAAAACAAAGAGTCACTAATCTGGGAGTGATAATGGACCCTTCCCTGAAACTTAAGAATCATGTAAACATGATTGTTAAATCATATTTCTTCCAGCTGAGGTGGCTGTCTAAACTGAAGCCCATATTGTCCAAAAAGAACCTGGAGACAGTAATACATGCATTCATTACGTCTAGGCTTGATTACTGCAACTTTCTCCTGTTTATCACTCAGACCTCCATTGCACAACTACAACTGGTCCAGAATGCAGCAGCCCGATTTTTAACCAGTACAGGCAAAAGAGAGCACATTACACCAGTTTTGGCCTCACTGCACTGGTTACCAGTTCACCTCCAAATCCAGTTCAGAATATTCCTGTATGTCTACAAATCGCTGAACAGTCCCCCCCCCCCCCAGTCTCTCTGATCTGCTACAGCCGTATATCCCACCACGTTCCCTGAGGTCAGCGGACCAGTTGCTCCTCACAGTTCCAGGAACTCGTCTTAAGCGCAGAGTGACAGGGCCTTCTCTGTAGCTGGACCAAGACTTTGGAACGAGTTACCTCAGCTTGTCAGACAAGCCCACTCCCTCTCAAATTTTCAAATCCCGTTTAAAAACCCACTACTATTCAGTAGCTTTCAACACCAGAGGATCTGTGTTTTGAACTTGTTTGCTTCACACAGGTTAGTCGTCATATTTATTATCTGCATAGTTTTTATGTCTATATTGTGATTTACTTCATTTTGTATATTGCTTTGTGTGTTACCTGTTGTTCTGTCTGTACAGCACTTTGGTCGGCCTTGTCTCTGTTTTAAGTGCTCTATAAAGAAAATGGTATGGTATGGTATCTGAGTGACAGGAGTTTTTGTGTTAACTTTGGCAATCATTTATCTGCTTCTGTCCCTCTTTCCTGTGGGGTCCTGCAAGGCTCCATTCTTGGACCCCTTCTGTTCTCATTATATCTGCTCCCTTTGGGGTCTATCCTGAGGAAACATAATTCGTTTCATTGTTACGCCGATGATTCTCAGATTTATCTGCCTTTAAAACCTAACAGTTCCTGCTCCATCCACCCTTTGCTAAAATGCTTTGATGACATCAAGACTTGGATGGCTGCGAGCTTCTTGAGTTTTAATGATCAGAAAACTGACGTCATTGTGTTTAACCCAAGCTCTAC